TTGAATTCCGATAGGTATTTGGTTATTCGGTAAATATAAGTTGTTGTGAAATGTTTAATAAGTTTGAAAAGATATTTTAGGGATATGAAAAAAAGTAGAAAACATATGTTTTTCATACTTTTAAATTAAAATAGTAGTAAATAATTGTTTTATAAGTTTCTCAACAATAAATAAATAAATGTAATTCAAAAAAAAAATCACATTTGTTTTAAAAAAATAAATGACAACTATAATTTCAAGAATAGTTACCTATTCTTTATAATATAAATGTAATTCAAACAGATAGCTACTAATATCTGATCATCTGAATTTTTTACATGAATATTGTACTTAATGAATACCAAAAAGTGAAAAGTTCAGATCACCAAAATTGGCTCTAAAATGAGCCTCCCAAACACTCTCAAGTTGATGGTCAACTTGAGAGAACCCAAACCCTATTTAGGTACACAAACTCTCACCAAATGCTTCCCTTTAGGAACTTAGCTATTTTAGTTGGTTTTTTGACTATTTGATTATTTTAATCTGGTTAAAAAAAATTATGTTTGGGATAATGGTTGACTTTTTTTGTAATTGATATGATAATTGTAAGAAAAAGTAAAATGATTATAGTTTGAATGTGACATTTTATTTTATTGACTATTTTAACCTATTTTGTCTTTATCACATTAAAAAAAAAAAAAAAATTACAAACAGGGCCATATTAAAAAAATATTAAATTTGATGGGTAAATTATAAATACATCCCTTGAGATTTGCTTAAAATACAGATTGCCCCTGTGGTTTGAAAAATTACAAATACCCCCTTATTAGAATTTTTTATTTAACAGAATTAACTAAAAAAATAAAATTCATAATTGCTTTTCTATACAATCATAAAATTACCTAAATTATTAATTGAAACATATTTTTAACATCATTAAAAACTGTTAATTGACTTAATGATTTATTACTAAAATGGGCAATTTGTTATAAATTTAGAAACCTCAAGAAGTAGAATGTAATTTTGAAAACCAGAGGAGACGGTTCATATTTTAATCAAACCTCAAAATGTGTATTTATAATTTATCCTAAATTTGATTAATCCTTCACCAACTCCTCTCTCACACCCCATGAGATTTCTGTTTAATAGTAATTTTTTCATATTTAAAAAATTAGATTTACTACCCTATCAAATTAAAATAACATATTTGTCCTTTACCCTTTATACATATAAAATAATAAAATAATACAGATATTTTATTCATACCATTTTAAGAAAAATAACAATCACCATGTTTGTTGCCAGTTTTCAAAATTCACTTCTCAGAAGAAATGTTTAATTTGACCACCATATAATCTTGATTTGAGATCAATTAGACACGTGCTAATATTTAATTTGCCAATAATTGTGTTATATTTTGCAGGCCATTGTAGTACGTGGCAATATGTAATTGGCAAAAATTCTCCATTCTTACAATTATATCTTTGGGTAAATTACACTGACACACCTTGAGGTTTTTGTTTAATACAGATCCCCCCTCACATTTGAAAAATTACACTTATCCCATGTCAGATTAAAATGGCATAGCTTTTATACATATAAAATAATAAAATAATAAAAAAAATGTATTCTTGTCATTTCAAGGGAAATAACAATCATCTTCTTTGGTTTAACTCACACAAAAAATGAGTTTTTTTTATTGAATTTTTTTAATATTTCAAGATTTTTTATTTTTTATTTTTTAGATACACCAAATCTAGATATACTTAATAAGTATAATATTTTGTAATTTTATTTTTAAATTCACCAAATACAAGTAACAATATATATATATATATATATATTCAATACATTATCTTATTTTATTGTATTCAATGAATTTTTTTAAAATTTTTTTGTACAAATTTTATACTTTTTAAATATGTTCATATTAAATTGATCTAATCTAGATATAATAGTGGAAATAAAAATAAAAAATTATATTCATATATAAAAAAGTATTATAAAAATATTGTAATAGTGATATTATTGTAAATATAAATGATGTTTATAGATATTTTGTTTTAAAGTAAAAGGTCATTATTAAACTATATATCATTGTGTTTGAAAATTCTATACAAAATCTATATTTGTATATCATCACTCAATAAAAATATGTTCGTATCGAATTTAATAATAAAAGGTCTTAAAATGTAGACATAATAATATGAAGAAGAAATGTTAAGAAAAATGGTAAGATTGTCACTTAGAAAATTTTAAAGTATGACATCAACAATCCATGAGATAATTTATAATGAGATTATAAACCTCAATGAGAAAAATGTAATTTTTCAAATATAAAGAAAGATCTATATTAAATAGAAACCCAAGGGTGTCAGTGTAATTTATCCCAAAAAAATATTAAATTCAATTAATTCTTCACCAATTCCCTCTTCACTATCCCTTTCACTCACCAATTCTATCTGTCTCACCTACCACTGTGAACGAAGTATGAGAACCCGGACAAAATCACCTAGATTTTTTTAGGTGAATAATTGTGTAGTAAAAATTAAATTTCTGTAGTATTGAATGTATATATAGAATAAATCTGAATTATAAGATGATAATTCTAAATAATTTCTGAATAATTAAATCTGAATTCATAGTATTGTTGCTCTTGAAACCCCATTAATTAGATTCATAAAATACATTTAATTTATTTTTAGTTTCTTCAAAACTCAACAGTTACTTTGTTCTTTGTTTAATAAATTTAGTCTTGGAAATATTGTATACTCACTGTTGTAATGTTAAAATATATTATTAGCAATATATAAAGATAGTTTTTTAATGAATTTTTTTTTTTTTAAAGGTTTGAACTCTCTTAAGTTGGTCATATCAAGGCCTATTTTGAAAGGGCATAGCTTCTGTCCAGTTCTTAATCGGATTGAGCCGTGCTGTTGGGTTTATGGGGGCCCACCACGGGTCTCGTTTTGATAATCTGAACCGTTCAATGTGTATAACTCGTCGAGTACTATATGCCTATAAAAAATCACGTTAATCGGATATCGATAGCTATGTGATCAAATCAGTTTTATATCAAAAAAAAAATGGACGGTGAATATATTAACGGTTGACAAAAATCTGTTTTGATCACATAGCTATCGATATCCGATCAATATGATTTTTTACAAGCATATAGTACTCGACAAGTTCTGCACATTGACGGTTCAGATTAACAAAACGGGACCCGTGGTGGGCCCTCACAGGCCCAACAGCACGGTCTAAAAAACTCAACAGTTGCTTTGTTCTTTGTTTAATAAATTTAGTCCTGGAAATATTGTATACTCCACTGTTGTAATGTTAAAATATATTATTAGCAATATATAAAGATAGTTTTTTAATGAATTTTTTTTTTTTTAAAGGTTTGAACTCTCTTAAGTTGGTCATATCAAGGCCTATTTTGAAAGGACATGGCTTCTGTCCAGTCCTTAATCGGATTGGATCGTACTGTTGGGTTTATGGAGGCCCACCACAGGTCTCGTTTTGATAATCTGAACCGTGCAATGTGTATAACTCGTCGAGTACTATATATCTATAAAAAATAACGTTAATCGGATATCGATAGCTATGTGATCAAATCAGTTTTATATAAAAAAAAATAGACAGTGAATAAATTAACGGTTGACAGAAATCTGTTTTGATCACATAGCTATCGATATCCGATCAACGTGATTTTTTACAAACATATAGTACTCGACAAGTTCTGCACATTGAACGGTTCAGATTAGCAAAACGGGACCTGTGGTGGTCCCTCACGGGCCCAACAGCACGGTCTAGTCCGATTAAGGACTGAACAGATGACATTCCCATTTTAAAACTAATTTCGGTAATCTACACTATTCACCTTTTAATATCTCGATGTTCTAAATCTTAAATCCTAAACCCTAATATTTAATTGTCATTTTAACAAATATGTTTAACTTGCTTTCAATGGCTAAGCAAGTCCAAGTACAAAAACTACCCTCCTAACTCCTTTTTTTCCGCAAGCAAGGATCCTCTAGAGTTTTTTTTTTCCTAAAATTTTCTAGAGTGGTGCATTGTGTGGTTGAGATTTAATAATAAGTCACATCAATTTTTCAGCATTAAATCTCAACTCACAATACACCACTTTAAAAAACTTTAGAAAAAAAACACTCTAAAGGATCCTTGGTGTTTTTCCGCTGCCTTGTTGAGTTTTTTGCAACCACAAAATGTCAACACAGCTTAAAAATTAATATTAATATTAATATTAATTATGTGGTGTAAGAATCACCTTTACATAAAACGTGGATGCAAACATAGGGGGTGTTTGGGAAGGAAGTTTTTGATTTTTTTTTTTTTTGGGTTTTTTTTTCATCAAAAGATAAATTGGTTATAAAACCAAAAAAAAAAAATTCAAACAAAATATCACATCAAACTCCATAATCATTTTACTTTTTTTCTCTCATAGACATCACGTCCAACCACAAAAAAACTCAACTATCTTTCCAAACATAATTTTTTTTTTCTCCAATAGTATCCTACAACTAAAAAATTCTACAAAAAAACCCACTTCCCAAACACCCACATAGTCTCATAAAATATTTTATTTCTTTTAAAAATACGAAACCAATCACAGAATTAATCAACGTGTCCGATTCTATAATTGGTTCATGTATTCATAGTGTTTTACAAAAAATTGTATTCATTGACTTTTCCAAAGAGCTGCGTACAGTTCTAGGAGTGGTAGAACAAAGTTTGCTCCGTTTCGTCAAGTAGGTTACGTAGACAGGCCAACCACTTTAACTTTGCCTAGGACTCTATTGGAACAAAGCAAAGAAGGAAATCTTGTTCAGTTCCATCAAACTTCCTAGCCCGGTTGTGCCTGAATCTTCGTGGAAGAAGAAGAAGCGGTTCACCAGCCACTACATCTGTGACTTCTGGAATGTGGACCAACGGAAGGTTGCATAGCATATAGCAAGTTCACAACCAAGGCTAATTTTGCACACAAAAAAAACTTGAAAATGGCAATTCCACTTTCAGGGATTGGTTTCCGACTACTCAAGTTATTTCACGTATGGCTTGTGGTCATGACATTGCTGAATGTTGGAACGCTCTCAACAGCCACTACCACTAGTTCCTTTGTTGGGAGCAAGACTGATCGCCTCGCATTGCTAGCCTTCAAGTCAAAGATTACACATGACCCTCAAGGGGTTGTGAGCTCATGGAACAATTCTCACCATTTCTGTGAGTGGCAAGGTGTTACATGTGGTCACCGACACAGAAGAGTTACCGTTATAAACCTGTCGTCAAGAGGTATAGTCGGTTCCTTGTCTCCTTCCATAGGGAACCTTAGTTTCCTTCATGAGTTCAACCTCAATAATAACACTTTTCAAGGTGAAATCCCAACTGAACTCGGTAACCTCGCCAGGCTGCAAAAACTAAACTTGACTCGTAATAGTTTCGAAGGAGAAATTCCAACCAACTTATTGCGCTGCATCGACCTCACAGAACTTAGTGTTGGACAATCTTCACTGTATTTAAAAGATTAAATTCTGTTGTGTACAAAACAACAATAAGAATAAAAGAAATAGATAAAATGAGAGAATTTGTTTGATTACAAAAATCAAACTCGAAATAAAAATAAATAAATAAAAACAGATTTTATTTTGTTACAAAAACAAAATTAAAATCTGATTTAAATAAATAAAAACAACACTGAAAATAAATTAAATAACTTACTTGATTTAATTTCTTCGAATTATTTTCTGATCAAGTCCAGTGTTTAACACTGTGTCCTTAAGACAGATTCGTCCTCTCCACGGTGCTTTCAAAATTCGGACGTCTATCTCCCAGGATGAAATGATCTACCACAAACAATAGCAGCACTACAAATTGTTTGCCTTACGAACACACTAAGTGTTTATACTCTCTCTGACAAGAAAATAATGCAGCAAAATGAAGAGGAAGTTTGCAGAATTATGAAGGACGAAAATTAGAGTTACAAAATCCAAATGAGGGTGGTCCTATTTATAGATGTGAAGGTGACTCTTTGTTTTGAATTGAACAGGTATCATACCTGTTGGGTTTTGAATTCAAACAGAGTTTTGAATTCAAACAGATTTGAATCAATTCAAACAGATAGTAAAACGGGAAGGGCCCTGTTTGGGTGTACCTTAATTCCAAAACAGTTTATTTCTGTTTGAAAACGGGAAGGGCCCTGTTTGGATGAACAAAAAATCCAAACCAATTTAATTTGAATTCTGGATTTTATTTTAACAAAATAAAATTAAATTCAAATGTTTTTGGCCCAAAAAAAATTAGAAGCCCAACCCAACCACGCACCCGCGCCCAAGCCCCAAGCCCAGCCCAGCCGACCGGACGGACGGCGGCACCGCGCGTGTGTGGTGATTTTTGGGTCCAATGGGTCTAGCCCATTTTGCCCATAACCTCTCCCTCTAAAACACTTAGGTACCCCTTGGGGCACACCCCAAGTACCAAACCCAAGCCTTATAAACCCATTCAAAAC